TAACAGTCTATTAATGTGTACAATATCCTTGTACATGTTTGATGTTCATAGTCATAATAAATGACATATTACTATTTTTTGTGCAATATATTACCGGGTTGCTCATTGGTTAGTAAAGAATACTGAATAACAAAATATGTGACACATTATAGTGTAATATTTGGTATATTTTATATTTTGGTTGGACATAGGTTTTACGATTTGAAAGCTAGAAAAACAAAATTATTCACTGAAGTATTGATAAAAATTTCCAATGTATTTGACGTTAATTGTTTTTATAAGAATATTTATTTTTTTTATCACGTTGTTTTAATAATAATATATTAATTATATTATGAAGTTTAAAAGGTAAATACGAAAGTTTTTTGTAAACTGTCTTTTTTTAGCTACCAATTCGAAAGGATCGATTCAGCGGAATGCTAAATTTCAAGTTAAATAAATCAGACCAAAATCTAAAATTCAAAGTGTATTAAAAATGTTAAATACAAAAAATGTGATACACGTTTAAATAGTTCTTCATACTAGTATAAATATTATAAATATTCAATAAATACCGTTTTTTATACCTACATAATTTTCATTTTTGTGGAAACTATTATTATTTATTAAAATATTAAAATTAAGAAAATAAAGTGCTACAAAAATAAAATTAATTTACGTGAAATAATTTTAACTGTTTCCAAATATTGCGTGATATACTATTTTGCCTTTCATTGTCATGCTAATACTTTAGGATTTTGGTGATGCAATTTCATTATACTAAGTAAACATAATGCATGTATATATATATATATATGTGTGTGTGTAATAATGTAAATATTTATAATATTAATATAAAATAATCGTAATAAGAATAGATAGTGGACAAAATACAAAGTATTAAACTACTAGATACCTAGAATGATATTTTTACTTTTAATGTTTATTAGATAATATATTAGAACAAAAATAATTTTTATTCAATGAAAAATTATATGTTGTAATTATTAAATACAATATAGTATAATGAAATAAGATATGTTTCAAGTTTCTGCGAAAAAATTGTTTTCTACTGTATAATAATATATTATGAGTATAGCCTATAGGTACAGTATTTAATTTGTAAAGAATGATCACTTTAACGAGGTGTATTTATATGTAAATACGCTGTGTTTTGTTTTTTTTTTTTTATATATATATAAATTTATCATTATTCAATTACTTATGTAATTTATATCAAAAAATGTGAATCTTAATATAAATAAATGCATTCAAAAAATTCAGAAAAAGCAAAAACTGCTATTGCAGACTTGACCTGTAGATACAAAGTTCTTTAATTTTTTTATTTTTTGAAAACTTTCGATGGATATAGATTGTTTGTACTAAGTGTAATATAAAAATACAACACTATACTTTTGAAAAATCTATCATCAAAAATGAATTTTAAAAAACTATTAAAAATAAACGCATTTTAACTCAGTCTTAAATAATAATTAATAAGATTTCATTAAAAACACTAACTAAAATTATTTTTAAAACGTTGGTATTTATAACACACGATATAATTGTAGTATACTAGGTTATCTTAGTATATTATTATAGTTTATATTAATATATTACATTATGATTTTTGTATTACATTGGATATTAGATATTTATTTATTAATTATGTAGCTGGTGGTTAAATTTTAAAGTATTAAAATATCTAATGTATATAATTTGCTAATCACTAGTTTTATTTAAATGCATACTATAATTTAAAGATTAGGTACAATTATTTAACTAGAAATATTATAAATATTATAAATACATTAAAATTATTAAATATCAATAAATGTTTGCTCTGTAAATAATAATTACTATAAATTATAACTACAATCATTCTAAATGTCTGTACTGCAAATATGATAAGCGATTCTTCAGTATGTATGTATAATTATTGTTAGCAATTTTTTTAAGGTTGCGATTGATTTTTTTTCTATAATTGAAATTATGCTACGACTTACATCAGTTCGTTTATTTGATTTATATGTATAAAATATTTATAACCTATTTAAAAAAATTATTCATAACTTAACCAAAATCATAAGAATATAAATTTTACAGTTGTCTACTAGATAATCAACATATAATAATTATTTGATTTATGATAATAGGTAATACGACATTAAATGTTGATAAAATCACATAGAAATAGTCTAGAGAATTTTATTTTCTGCCTGCTGGTGCACAAGTATATTATATAGTAAGTTTAAGTTCAGCAGTTCTTGTTTAAGTAGTTTGGTTAGTATTATATTATTAGAGTGAATAGACCTATAATTAAATTAAATGAACACGAAATTATTTGTATTCTATCTGAAGTTTTTTCGGTATTTTAACTTTAAGGCCAGTTAAGAGCATTTTTAACATTAATATTTATTATATTATGTAGATAGGTACCTATTTACAACGTATACCTATTTTGTATAATTATTATGTAAATTGTCTAGAATTAATTTTTTATGTTTACGTCATATATTCAAGTTAGCGAGCTTACACATACCAAATATTAATAGTTAGATTAACCATTTTTGAAACAAGTATAACATAAAATTTTTAAACACATAATTAACCAACATTGATTGAAAGTATTTGTTTTAAATTTTTTACAAAATAGACAGGAATATTGTTTTCAAAAATTAGAATAATGTATACCTATTATAACTTACATTAAAAATATGAATAGATATAATATTATGTAAGATGCACCTATACATCTCTGAAGTGTATTTAATTAAAATACTTGACATTTTAAAACTGCTAATAATATAATTTTATATGTATAAGGAGATACAATTTGTTCGGAGGGGTGACTAAAGCTTCATTATAAGACTTCGACTCATATACTCCTTCGCCCCAATTTAAGTATCAGTATTTTTTTGATAATAATTACAATGAAAAATAATAAAATACTTTAAAATCTAAATAATAAATTTAAACATTCAAATTTAAAAACTAATGAGTAAAATTATTGACCATACACCTAACCTATTTATACTATCATCGCGCATATACCTACGTTATTTAAGTATATAATATGACCAATGCGTAATTATATTTATAATTATAATGCGTAGTCTATAGATCGGTATAATATATTTGAAACTAATATTTGATTATAAAACGATTAACAACAAACCTATTTTGTCTAATATTTGAACAGTTTATAAATTTTAATTTTAATTCTCAGTGTTTTAAATACAAATCGCCCAAGTACTTAGGTATGTGATGTAATTTAACATCACTAAATTGTAAATAATTGCCTTAACAACAATAAAACATGTAAACGATGGATGTAGAAAAATGTTTTTCTTAATTGTATACTTATTTTTGAATTATAACATACCATTACGACGCAATAAAGTGAATTAGTTCAATTTATACATTATTATTGCAATTTGATAAAATTAAATATATTTTGTTATTTATTTTATATCAAAGAAGTTTTACTAGAAGAATGTTTTTCAGATCACATAAATTATTTTATATTTTTATAATATACTTTATATATATATGTACATGTATAATGTAAGTGTAGATACTATATATTATATGTATATATCAGCTCATATTATTTTCCTCTGTAAAAATTTAAATATTATATCTAGACTTTAAATATAAATAAAAATAATATGCTTGAATTGTGCACAAACGTATATTAAAATTATTTATTTATTGACATATCTTTATTATACCAAGTTATAGAGAGCAATTAGGTATTTTAAGCATAATTTTCCTCATCAATATTTGATTTATAGAACGTAACCACGAACGAGCATTAACGAAAACGGGATGTTAATCTTTTCAAGGGCTAAACTTTCGAGGTATCACAAAAACACGATCTGCATCAACACCATAATTTATGTAGAACAGTACAAGGCCGTATTATAGCAACTAATAAGACCTATCCTCGGCATGGGAATTGAGATGGCATAATGTTTTACCACGAATTTTACGAGTTTTTAAAATATATGAACTAAGTATACTTAATATTTTTAATTTGATAGAATAGTAAAAAATTTCAGTGGAGAAGTTGATTCCTTAAATTCATATCCATATATTTGCAGCCTTTTACACTATTCACTTTCATAATTTTTGAACATAGGTATAGTGAAATATAAAATAAATGAAATAATTACAAATATTATTTATATTAATTCATAAAATATTGTCAACATAAACAAAACAAAATAAAATTATTTGATTATTTGACGACCATTTTTAAATTAAAACATGTTTATTTGTTCAATATTATATTATTTTTAATTTTCTATTTATTTTAAGAAAAGACTGACTACAAATTTTACCGTTTGCGTTGAGGACCCAATACAAACGATTTTTTCGAACTGTAAAAAATTTAAAAAAATTTAAAAAAAAAATTAATATTCGACTACAGTATATTTTTTACGATCATTGTTTTTTTTTCATTTCCAATAAACAAAAAAAGTTTCAATCCAGTAATATAGATTTTAAAATTGAAACTATACTTCATTTAAGTATGAAAATTGTTTTGAAGAAACTAAAAGGAAATTTGAAGATTAAGTTCAAACTGATACTTGAACTTTGATATTTTTTTCTTTGGAAAAAAATCAAGCACGAGTTCGGGTTGAAAATTTGTAAACATTTAAGTTCGACCCGTCCCCAAAAACAAAACAAAAAAACTAAGACGTTGACACCACTATTAGCAACGGAAAAACAAACGTTTGACCAACGACTACAGGGTATAATAGTGGCGTAGCGTTACATGTGTGACGCACATGAGAAAATACACATACACTCTTATTATATATTATATTATAAATATACATATATATATATATATACACAAACACACACACACGCCGCACGTCCGTCCCTCCAACAACCACCACCACCACCATCATGAACCCGCCAACGTTCTATAATAATAATAACAATTAATAATGTATTTTGCCCACCGGTGGCGGCGTCAAGACCAGCCTCAACGTCGTACGTTGACGGCAGTCGAGTTTAAGTGCGCGCAGCGGTGATTGCATACGGCAGTGTGTCGAACGCCTCCGATGTGCAACGTTGCAGCTCCGGTAGAAAACAGATTTTTTCGAAATTTTGTTGATTTCGAAACATTGGTTTTCGTGTTTGCAGCGCCGAGTATCATAATATATTTATAATTTTTTTTTTTTTTTTGATGAACAAATGATCGATCGATTTTTTTGAAAAATTATATTTGAAATAGCGACCGTGTTCGTACATAATTATATTTGCGTTTAATTTGTAGCGACAAAAATATGGCGATGTAAGTATATCAAAACAAACGCACAATGCAAATAACTGTTACGTATTTTACTTCGTTTCATTTTTACAACCATTTCCCCGTTATCACGTGTCGTTGTTACAGTTCGGAAATGTGTAGCGCCGAAAATATCATGGGCTCCAAGTTGATGATTTCCGTCAAAATGCCAAACAAGGACGAGCCGTTATTGAAAGAAGACACTCCTGAACTAACAAAACCGACCAAAGGCAGTTCGCTTAAACAGGTGTTTTTTTTTTTTTTTTTATTATTAATTATTTTAATAGAAAATTTAAACTATGAATGTTGCACAACGTTCGAGACCTCTCTTTTTGCCGTCTCTTACTAATCGCGTACTATAATAAAAAAAAAGTATTATGACGATTATAAGAAAGCCATATAAAATCCATGTATATATTAATATTATTATACCTAGTCATTTTAATTTAATGGTGTAAAGTTTAAGACTTATCATTACTTTACCTAAATATTTATTTATATTTATTATAATATACTGTTGAGTTATTTATATTATATTTTTTCACGTCTAATGTGAAACCAATATAATATGTTTATTAGTCGGCTTACAAGTCACTTTATAATTTATATTATAAAGAATATAAATATCATATAATATCATATAATATAGTATCAGAATGAATGAATAACAAAGAATAATATTTTTACATTAATGACACGCGATAAAGATAAAAATAATATTGTTTTTTTATGGCATCTGACAGTTTAATTAAACGCTTGTAAAATTGTATTTTGTACAAAAAAAGTGCCGACTTTATTTTACAAAATTTAATAATAAACGATGAACGATTGGTGGGTTTTTCATAACAAAACACTGTATGCACATTGAATGATGACATGTATATATGTATATATAAATAAATAATAGTTAATAAATTATCATTTCCTAAAGTACTTATATATTTACTTTGTTTAATACAATAAATTTGAATATTTTATACAAATCTAAGTTACTAAGCAAATCGTCTACAAAATATAAAACCTTAAATTACAATAACTTTATTGTCGTTAATAGCGATTACCGTAACAATAAAGATATAATTATATATCAGTAATAAAAAATTGATAAGTACAATCGTCGTGGTATTAATTACTTGAATCTCATGTACCATAGAAGTAATTATATTGCGTAAATCATTTTAAAGCTTGAGAATAAAATAGCTTATAAAAAACAAACACTAAATTATATACATCATTAATAATTTTTAATACACAATATAATGTATTTTAAGGTCATACAATTAATAAAATATTGAGACTTATACATAATTTTTCAAATTACAGGTCATTATAAATTGTAAGTTTCATACGGTTGTTTAGACATTTGGAAATTAAAACTTAGTCTTTGCAATCAAAATAAAAAAAATAAAATTTTAACTAGAAATTTTGTTTATTTTGTTTTTTTTTTTTTTTAACTAAAAACATAACATACATAATTTCACATTTCAAAATATTGTATACGATGACGTAATTAATTTATTGTCTTGTCCATACACGAAATAAACATTAATTATCGACTTTGATGCACACTTGATAATAAAAATTAAAAATCATTATTTCAGATCCTCGTCGCCTTGTCGGCCAACTGGGGCACCATAAATACTGGACTCGTGTTCGGCTACACTGCCGTCAGTTTACCCCATCTTATGATGGTCGGATCTAGAATTCCAATCAACAGAAACCAAGCCTCTTGGATAGGTAGGTCCCAAATAGATCAATATTTGGCGGTCATGTGATTATTAATGGTTTAATAATAACGTCCAATTCTCGTCATCCGTAGCTAGCGTGTCGACCATCGGGACGCCGTGCGGATGCATACTAGCCAGCTACTTCACCGACTTGTTAGGCCGCAAGAAGACCTTAATCGTCTTGCAGCTACCCGCTATTGTGGGATGGTTAATGGTGGGCTCCGCGACGTCAGTTCAATGGATTTACATAGGAAGATTCCTGGCAGGCCTGAGTTCCGGCATGATCGGCTCACCGTCCCGAGTGTACACATCTGAAGTATCACAGCCGCACCTGCGCGGCATGTTGTCCGCGTTCGCATCTGTTGGAACGTCTTTGGGTATGTAAAGATTAATTTTTTTACTTCCAACGATGACTTTGAAACGACACCGCATCAATAACGTCGTCTTAAAAATTCTTGTAGGTGTCATGTTGGAGTATTTGATTGGTTCGATACTTAACTGGGACTCGTTAGCGTTTTTCAACGCCACGATACCCACTATAGCGTTGCTCCTGGCATTTTTCATACCAGAATCACCGTCGTGGCTAATATCGTCCAAGAACGACGAGATCCGGTGCAGAGCCAGCCTGAGACGGGTGAGAGACAGTAAATGCGACGTGGACACAGAATTCAACGATCTGCTCATGTCTTCAAGAACAGACGAGTCGACTTCGTTCAAGGAAAAGCTCCGACTCATCTGCCGGCCGTCTGCGTACAAACCGTTTGTGATCGTTTCCTTCTATTTCCTGCTGAGCCAGTTTTCTGGACTGAACGTGGTCACGTTTTACGCAGTCGATGTGATACGGGTTAGTATTGTTTCATTGATTATTACTGGTGCTTTATCATATATTATTCGTCTAAACTTCTCCGATCTTCTTTGGTGTTTTTACAGGATTCTGGTTCTACTATTGACAAATACGTAGCCACCATTGTACTAGGAATCATTCGGCTGGTATTCACTGTGATCGGTTGCATGTTGATGTGGCGACTGGGCCGTAAACCACTCTCCTACATATCTAGTGCGTATACGATTTGTTGACTCGAGCCGATTGTCCGCCGTCACGTGTCGAGTCTTGGGTGTATTTTTTTTCAATTTTATACTTCTGAAAGTCATCGTTTTGAATAACGAGTACATGATCGCACTTGAATAAACAATAACTTGAGTTCAAAAATCGTACGACACGTGACCCGACGGGGCTTTCCAATAAATTTAACCATGGTAACCGTATCACCTACCAGTAGTGTATATAAAATATATTTTTATTTACAGGTGTGGGTTGTGGCATATCGATTCTGTGCTTTGCCGGATACATGTACCAGAACGTCATTTGGCAAGCGTCCGGACAACCCGCTTCAAACACGTGGTTCCCTATCGTAAGCCTGTTTGTGTTCTACGCCTGTTCAACAATCGGCTACCTAATCGTGCCGTGGGTGATGATCGGCGAGGTATTTCCTAGACAAATCCGAGGCATGCTCGGTGGTGTGGCCACGTGCGTCGGACATTTCTCCATATTCATAGTGCTTCAGACATACCCGATCCTTCAGGAGCTGGTCACTAAGTCCGGTACGTTCGCTGTGTACGGAATCGTGTCTATACTAAGCACCCTGTTCTTCTATTACTTCTGCCCGGAAACCAAAAACAAGACGCTACAAGAGATCGAGGATTCGTTCCATAATAAAAAAAAACCGAAAAGACCCGTCGTCATCACAGCCAATGCAACAGCTTCCATCCAGTGCGATAACAACAACAGAAAATTTGCGTTTCCCGATATCGTTTTCAATCTGCCAAAACGCGACACCGGTGTGACCGTGTGAAAACTCGACGACGATTAGCCTAGCACTACGATGATGAGGAAATATCGCCATCGATTAGTTCCTTATTTAATATATATGTATATATTTTTTTTGTTATTTTTAATGATTTGATATCGTGTCTCGTTGCAATTCGTAGCACGTTGTCGCGAACACTTGTTTTATATAAAATTACTATTGTTAAAACTACGATTAACTCGATTAAGTATTGTTTTTAGTGCTTTCAAACTTTGAAAGCTGCGACGATATTCATGGCATTTTTACTTTATCTTCCATAATATCATTATTGACGTAGTATTAGATTTTACAACATGTTTACCTTTATAGTTATTTTTAAGACTGACTAAAAGTGATTTATTATAGTTTTAGAATATAAACAATGTTTTGTTATACTATGAAAATTGTGAATAATATATTGTTAGATATATACTTTTATATATGTATTATGTATATATACAACATATTTATATATATAAAATTAATGATATTTAATGGTTAATATTCATTATAATAAATTTAAAAATTTTATTATTCTCACCATATTTATATATATATATATAAGTCCGTTAACTTAATTTAGATTTTTATTTAAAATATAACCTAATCATTGTGAGTAGAAATAAAATGATAAGTCATTGATATTATTGTATTAGTTCGCTTATAAAATTATAAGCATAGTAAGTAGGTACATGTGTATCCTAATTATTTCTAATGAAGGCATGTTAAAATGTAAACATATATATTCACAATATAATGTTAATAATAGTAAATAACTATTTAGGTACCTGGCTATGAAAATAACGGTTGATGTGTGAAGTAAGAAGTATCAAGTAAATACTTACAAACATAATATAAATCAAGAATTCAAAATAGTAACATATATTTACTTTATTGACAAGTTGATTGTGTTAAAATAGGATTTCGATGAACTTAATCATTTAATTTAAATGTATTTCATATTATTTTCCTGGAGATTTTTTATAAATGATTCAAAAACATAAATAATAAAATAAAACGGATGAGAATATACACTTGTCATTAATCATAAATTATTTTGCTGGACAAACATTATAAGTCCAATAATTGAAGTCCATTCGTAATTTTGTTCAATAATTATCATTATCAAACAATGAGACATTTAGTTCAACGTTCAGGATTTGTTTGATTTAATCACGAAATCTGAAGTCCATAGGTGTTACATATTTTTATTTATTATATGCACTAATAAGTACAAGATTAAAAAATTTCCTAATGTCAAACAAAAAATTGTTTAATATAACTTCTTATCAAGATTAAAAAAAGATAGTTAACTTATTGTTAGAAACTATTCGAGTAATTGATATAAGTTTACCGAAAAAACGATTGGTTCGTAATCAAATAATGTATTATAAGAATTTATATTTATATATTATGTTATAAATGCATAATGTACAGGTATAATTAAATTGTATTTCAATATGCAATATACAATTTTAAATCGTATATATAAATACTAAAAATTGTTGTCATTAGCTTGAAACTAAGACGATTTGTAAAGGCTACTGACCACCACAATAAAAAAAATAAATAAAAAAAAAAATTTACAATTTACAACTATTGCAAGAAAATTAGCGATTTATACTCATCATAAACAATTGCACACACAAGGAGTGCATACATTTTGCATATTTTTACCTTTTTACCAGCGAAAATCATAACACCATTGAGATATAAAAATATTTTTAATTTAAATTAGGTACTGAGTTTAAGAAATTAATCTATATTCTACAGCATAATATCTATAAACCTATAACATTAGAAATACTCTTAGCACGTTGTTATTGTAAAATGCAAAAATTATTATACTTAAATACTTAATACTATAATATACACGGCAATCACATAAAACTATTAACAATTTAAAGCATCAAAACACGTATAATAAAGTTTATGTAAATTATTATAGGACAATGTTGTGAATTTCTTTTGAACCGACAATATTAAATATTTATTGTGCCTTAAAGTTTTATACTATTGTGTGTTTTCTTAAATAAAGATAAAAAGTGCATAGTCATTTATATTTTTCAGGTGTAAAAAGTGCTCAATCCTGATACACACCACATACAAGATGGGAATGAGTCAAATCATATCTAATTTAAAATAATCTTAGATCCTATACGAGTAGATACTCCATACTTGGCATTTTACACTTGATAATTGATCTTCGTACAAAATAAATAGTATAATCATTGGGTTACGTATATTAAAACTGTACCTACTTATAATCGGAATCAAGATATATATGCACATAATACATATGTGCTTACAAAATAAAAAATATATGCTATCCTTTAAAATTTCATAATATTTAAGAGGGATTCAATGTGAGTTAAAGTTAACTATTCAAATCTATAGAACTGTTAACTCTTTAAAATATTTCACTTATCTTCACCTATTTTATGTGTGAAGGCATCATAAAAATATTTCTGAAACTCTCGTTATATTTCTTTGAATCCTTTAGAATTTCATACCATATTAAATCTACGATCGAAAAAAAAAAATAAATCAACAAATAATTGAGTATACTCTTATAATTTTTAAACCTTATATAATTAAACAAGAATAATATCCAATAATTAATAAACATTACAAATAATAAATAAGAAACAAGGTAGGTAATTTGCTATTTTTTTTAAAAAAAAAAATAACTTAATATGTGTATCAAAATGTATGGCTTTTGAAACCAATAAGAAACTATGTAAAACTTTATTTTTAATTTATAATAAATTAATCAGTTGAGTAGTAAATATATTTTATTATGTAGTATATAAACGAGCATAATTATAGTGTTAATTTATATAAATAAAAAAACAATATAAAATATATTATAGTTAAAAAAATCATAGAATTAATGTATAAATATATATTTAATCTATGATAAAAGTGGCTCTAATCACAGCTATATAATAATATCAATTTGAATTAATACGTAGTATTTTATAATAAAATAGAGATAAAACGTCTAACAATAGTATTCGTGTAACATTCAAACAACTAAAAAATAAAAGAGCTACATAAATTGTTAGCCTCTTTGAGTGTGGTAAAGAGAATCTATATTGTAACAAATAATAATTGTAAACTTACCCCTAATGAATAATAATTTTTTTAATTTAATTTTCTATACATTTTGATGAAATTTTAACGATTCCACGATAACCCAACCAACCAATAACTATTGTAAGTGATAATAAAAATAATGAGACATCAAACAAAAAGTACTGCGCAGTGTTCAGTCCTATTGAACTACTCTTTAGATATTTAGCTCCATCGTTCCGAATTACGTACTCTATCCAGTATATAGCGCGATCTAAAGGTGTCATCGGTTGATCTTTGTATACTTTACTCTGGATCGTTGATTTATCCTTAAACCTGATAAACCAAATAGACAAATTAAACACTAGAAATATATTTAATAAGATTCTATTATTATTATTATTATTATTATATGCATATGAAATGATATAAACATACGTCGGATTTGTTAACACTTCTTCGACTGCATTTTCAAATGATTCTTCGGTTAGTTTATTATAAGTTATCAACTTTCCATAACCGTTTTTCTCGACATGTCTCATATTGGATAGTTGGTCAGCAAAAAATGGTATGCCAATCACTGGTTTTCCGTTGTAAACAGCTTCCTCGATACTGTGCAAACCTCCGTGAGTAATAAAAAGTTTTACATTTGAATGAGCTATACACGATATATTTATGAGTACAGACATTCAGTTAAAAAATATGTTTCATATTATAAATTATATTCTCAATTGAATTCAAATTAGAAATTACCCAAAATATCATTCTGAGGCAACCACGAACCGACCTTAACATTATGAGGTAATTTTATACTTTTATCTGGCACCCATTTTATAATTACTTTTTGTTTTAAACGACTGATGACATTAAGGATACTATCCAATTTTTCTTTTGGTAAATTTGATAGGTTCACGATTGAACCAAAAGAAAAAAATATTACACCATGAGAAGCAGAATCAATATAATCTTGTAAATCCTAAAAAATATAATTTTTCAATTAATAATGCAATAAATATTAAATATTTACATACGTGTTCCAAGTGACTTCCAACCATACTAACCAAAACCTTACAAATAATCCTTACGCAAAAAACCTACCGTTCCTATTCACAACTTATGGCCTTAGTTGCCAGGCTTAAATAAGATCAATAATATTTGTTCTACATTATTTTAATTTTTGAACATTAATGATAATTATTTTCTATTGATATTTCATTTTAAAATTATTTGCATAACCCAATTTAATTCAATATATTTATACCATTTATTATTTATTTTCAATTGTTTATTTTTCAACAAAAATTTTAAACACTGTTCTAAACAAATAATTTTCCAATTTTGTACGCGTGCTCGAATAAGTCGAATAAGTACATAAATGACCTAGGTACTCTTTAATATAATAAATTCATTTATTTTAAAACTATTTCTTTCATACCTATAATTATTAGGGCTCACTTTGGTTAAAGGTTTTGGTTCTTTGATATGCATTCCTCCTACTTCGACGACACCCGGGAGATACGGTCGACACACTCCGATCACATGGTTAGCGTTAATCAGTGTTAGTGACACGTTGTTCAACATTTGCTCGAGTGTAGGCCTCGATTGCCAACCGGCGTATACGAAGTGCTTACTCATTGCCGTCTTAACCATTGGAATATACAAGTAGTCTTCCACGACCATTCCCATAAATCCGACGATGGTGTTCTTTAAACGCTCCAAAAAACTCATGTTGTCCATTACGCCTATACAGCAATCCGGCACATACGAAAATGTCGAAGGTAAATGCAGCCATTTACTAGCACTGACCCAAACCATTGATGGCGATAAGTTGACGACGGGAGCATTGAATTTATGGCCAAGGGCCACAGTGTATTCCTGGAGGAACGATTCGATTATGACCAGATCGAATGAGTTATCCTCCGATAAGACAAAGTTTTTTAAATTCGGGTGCTCCATTTGGTTTAACAAGATATTGGAAAAAATCCATCTGTTTATCACCGAAACCACGAAATTTATATTGATCCAATGCATCACGTCAAAATCTGTAAAAACGCGCGATTGACAAAAAACACATATACATTATAATCATGATACAATCGACACTCAAACTGTCTGCTCAGTATCGTTCTAAAATGGTCAAAACTTATTCGAAAATTTCAAAACCTTGTTTTATGACCTGCAAAAGTACATATGTCAGATAAAGTGATTATAGCACGTTCGATGATAGTGAATTATATTGGATGAATATCGATGTAAATTATTTAAATTTATTACGATTCATTTTAAATTTACTAACTCGATTGTAGGGTGTGGTAGAAATGTCTTCGCAGATTTATAAAGAGAAAATATAAAAGTTACATACCTCATGCTTTGCATAAAAATAAAAATTTTAATTCTAGTTGCGACTACCCGAAAGAAATCCAAAAATCACACAAGACTGAAAAAAATATCGTCTTACTAATAATATATTATTGTGGCTTGGCGTGGCGCATTGGCTGCTTCCAGTCACGGAATGCAACTGAAAGTAAGTAACGGCCACAGCTACTAGCTCCCGGATGGGTGACCACTCGGGATCAAAGTGGTTAAAAACCTTGCCACACATACACGTTTTTGCTATCAACCGTAACAATCGTAAAAATACAACCTATCATACCAACCTTACCCCCTACCACAGTTCATAACCCCTACAAACAGCTAATGGCCCTAGTTGCCGGGCTTAAGTTCAATAAAAAAAATAATAATAATAATATATTTTATATTGACTATTGAGTACTCGCCAGTAACGCCTTGCGTTGGTGTCACGTCCACGTCGGTGTAGTTCGGGACGCGTCGGTCCGTCAACGGAAATACGCTGACCACGGTGACGTTATGACCCCGGCGGGCTAACTCTTCGAACATCGGCTGGAACCCTCCGAAATGGCTTTTTAACGGCATGGGCATGAACGCCAACACGTTGGCGGCGAGCGCAGTCGGTGGCGATACGAAGACCGTCGGCAACAGTAACAGCGGAAGTAGCAGTAGCAGTCGGGTGACGTCCGGGAATTTGAGAAAACACATTTTAATCGATTTTATTATTATAATTATTATTAGATTTATCGTTTTATCGAATTTGTTTTTTTCTGCGCGACATCTCCGACCGACGTCGACTGAGGCATGAGACTGCGGGATAGAGTATTTAGAGTTTATCACGCACTCACCGAGTGATGAAATGAGAGTGACGATCGGTGATAATAGGTAGTAATATTATCATGTGATTCGATCGGAGTGGAATCGCGTGCAAACTCCCATCGGTTTACTCCGTATATGATGAATTGAGGTGTAACCCGTAACGAGTTCTTTGCGTTTGGTCGGTTTACCATACTGTGTATAAAATATAATAATTATATTGTGATTTAGTCGATGAAGATAACGATGTTTGGCGTACTACACTTGATCTTACGTAACCGTATGATAGCTTTATATATGAAAACGAACAAATCAATGAGAGTGGACCGACTGACTTGTTTACAGCTGCAGCTGTACCTATGGTCCGACCTTCGACAATCGCTGTGAGATACGTTGCACCATTTATTATAAACACTAGTATTTGTAATAAATAGGTTTTACGCTCGTTTGTGATGAACTATTATTTTTTTTAATATTATAAGGATAGTATAAATATATTTTATTTCAGTTTGCAGTTATATAAAAGCCATGTACAGAAATACATATCGTTATAACTATTAACACTTTGTTTAAAATTGCGCTGTGACCTTAGTGAATTCCAAGTACTCATAATCTAATCATCGATATTAATATTTTGTTAAACAGGAACCAAATCGAAGTGTGGGATAGTCGGTACCAGCTACATATTATTATAATTGTTATTATTATTACTTACGAGTTCCTACCTAGTACCTAGTACCTACTTCGATTGAAAACAACTGTTAGATTGATGATAGATTTTTCACTTTTTATGTAAATGTACTTTTAGTTTTTACTCATAGGAAAATAAAATATATATATAATTGAACAAATACCACAAAATTACACTTTTAATAAATATTTTCATTGATTAATAATAATAACTTACAAATGCAAAATAGTTTAAATAAGTTTTAAAATAATTATGCTGTATTTAATTTGTAATATATTATTTTTGCAACTACCATATAACAAAACCAAATTATCAGTCCAATTAGTACAAGAAAAATAAATGAAATATCTAACAAAAAATACTGTACATCATTTAACTCCAATGAGTCGCTTTTAAGATGTTCAGCTCCACCATGCTTAATAATATATTCAACCCAGTAAACAGCCCGATCTATGGGTTTCATTGGTTGATCTTTGAATACCTGACTCTGAATCTTTGCTGTCTCTTTAAACCTAATTTAAAGTAATAAATTATTAGAGTTTATATTGCTGTTATTTACTTAATAAATAATTTAACATACTTTGAATTTGACAGTACTTCTTTGATGGCATTTTCAAACGATTCTTCGGTTATTTCAAAAAAATTTACTAATTTACCATACCCTTTTTGCTCGACTATTTTCATGTTTAAATACTGGTCAGCAAAAAATGGTACTCCAACTACAGGTATTGCGTTACTAACCGTTTCTTCTATGCTATGCAATCCTCCATGAGTTATGAAAAGTCGAACGTTTGGATGTGCTGTATAATAAAACACAAATTAAATACTTCTATGTATAATATATTACCGAAAATATTAAAATTTAAGATATTATATCAATGTTTTTAGTATTTGTTATCATTTTCAGACTATAGCAATTAGCAGATAATAATTTATACGGTTGAATGAAATATTTAGGACGAATATTAGATAAATTATTTAAGTTTGAATATAATACCAAAAACAGTATAACAGGTAGTTTAATTAATTTTTCTTTTAGATGTTTTAAATTAATTTGTTCTACTGCTAAACACATAATATATACTCTAAAAAGTAGATACTGAATTTATTTATATTTTAAATTTTAAATTAAAAGTTAGAAAATTATGTGTATTAACTACTGTTAAATGATAAATATTGCCTAATAAACCACGGAAATTATAACAATATCTAGGAAATCATCCTTATATTATAAGAAGTTTTAATAAACATATGATAATTATGTGTATACAGTGAGGTAAGACGGACGAAATTATAAAGGCTCAACAAAAATATGTTTTCCAGTGCACTTCAATCTGTCTTTAAATGACACTTTCCATTAGAGAACAATATTTTTTCCTGACACCTTGATAATGCACATTAATCTAAGTTCAAACTTAAATATTATTCCATACTTATGCACATGTATACAACGTAACAGATCATCGGCCGTGTCGAGGAACGCGATTACCTATACTTCATGACACGAGTATTTAGTTACCACTAAATACATATATCAAACTACTTTCATATATTTATAGTAAGATTTTCTAAATATTCATATATTTCCATTAACAATAACGTTAATTGTGTATATTTTTAAATAAAACTTATGTTAAATAAAATTATATGTGTACCTACGATAAAATATATGTATTAATATTTATTGTCAATATTATTTTAATAAAAATAAGTACAATATTTGTATGAAGTGTGTTTGACTAAAAAAATACTTAAGCCTATCTACAACAAACATCTCTCTATAACAGACACTATTGATAATTCCATGACTATTTGTTATAATCAGAGTTCACTGTACATATAAATACATACAAATGTATACAAGTTTTTTGAAATTATATTACAAGTACCGTAGATTACAGTGCAATGTTTACTTTATCAGGTTCAATGTTCTGGTTTACTTACTGTGTGGTCGAAAAATTCCATTTAAAAATGAAATAACTAGGACCGGCGAAAGGGTGGGGCAGGTGGGGCCAGAGCCCGGGGGCCCGAGCCTCCAGGGGGGCCCGTTGTCTGAGGTGGTCAATTTTACTAATTTTTTGAGTAGAAAAATTATTTTTATACAAATTGTATGTTATATAATTTAGAATTAAAAGTTAAGTCGTTAACATTTGCGTCCGATTGCTCAAAATCAAACAACTAATGTAGCTACTATATTTTACACATCGACATACGCAACACAGTACGAAACAGTACGCACAAAGATAACAAAACATAGGTACGCGAGTTCGATCTGTGTAATCGTCTAATCGGTTTTTGTATAGTGTGTGATATTACTGCTATTAATAAATAATAATATGGTTAAGAGCGTTATTATATTGTTTGTCAATGATTTTTTTATCGATAACGACTGACTGCTTGTTTAATAATAAAATTACAATGTATCACATAATAATATGTCTGATCAAATTTTTACGTATTAGACATTAGTTGTAATGACGCATTCACATAATATACATCGCATTCCGAGATTATCGTTACTTTCTTCAATATTAATAAGGATTATAATATATAAACCAAATTAAAGTGTTATATATATCTTAGTCAAATATGAAATAACTATAAGTAAAGGGGCCCGGAATTGATCAGCCCCGGGGCCCACAAAAGTTCTCGCCGGCCCTGGAAATAACTATTTTATATAATTAGCAATATGTATATATATATATATATATATATATAGATTATAATATGTCAAATAAGTCCCAAACACTAAATTTAATTCTCTTTAGTACTTAAGTAAATATTTAACTTTCTTCGTAATATACCTTTATAACTCTTTATAACTCATGTAGTTAACATAAAAATGAAAATAGAAAATAATGATTTAAGGGTGATGATTAAATTCTTATTATTTTATATTACTAACATATTTACCTAAAATGTCGTTTTGTGGAAACCATGAACCAGTCATAATGTTTTTAGACAGGTTTACACTGTCATTAGGTATCCATTTTAGTATTACTTTTTGTTTTAATTTTTGAACAACGCTAAGAAAAATTCTTAATTTTTCTTTAGGTAAGTCATTCAAATTTACCACCGTACCAAAACTAAAAAATATTACTCCTTCATCTGCAGCATCTAAAAAATTTTGAAGATTCTGAAATAAAAAAAAAAAATACTTAAAACAACTCATAGAATTTATTCAAATTAACAAATACCTCCTGAAGAGAATAGCATACTGCAAAAGTAGTATAGCAATTAGTACTTATGTACCAACTACCAGTTACAAATAACTTGTAAAACTCACTTCGGGTAGAGATTTTTGGTTTTTTAAGTGCATTCCGCCTACTTCAACGATACCTGGAGAATACGGTCTAGGTACACCAATTGCATAATTTAAGTTGACCAATGTGAGGGACACATTGTTCAACATATTCTCGAGCGGAGGCCTAGACTCCCAGCCTTCGTATGTTAAATATGTGTTCATCACTTTCTTCATTTTAGGTAAATACAAGTAATCTTCAACATAAGACTGCATGAGTCCAGTTATAGTGTTTTTTAATCGTTCTACGAAACTCATGTCATCCGTTGTGTGCAAACATACGTCTGGTATGTATGAAAATGTGGAAGGCACGTGCAACCATTTGCTGATACTAACCCAGAGCATCGCCGGTGCCAAATTAATGACAGGGGCGTTGAATTTGTGACCCATGGCGACTGTGTACTCTTGACAAAACGTTTCAATCATGACTAAATCGAACGAATTTGAATTCGATTGAACGAACTTTTTCATGTTCTCGTGCGACATTACTGTTTCGGATAGTTGTATGCCAAGACTCCATTTTAACTGAGCTGACGTTATAAAATTCATGTGTACTAATTCCATTACGTTTCTCACTGTAACAAAAATGTAAATTTATGTTAATAAAATTTAAAAAAGTAAATACTCATCACAAATAACGGAACAGCCAGAATTCAGTTAAAACGTTATACGTCTTCAATATCGTTTTTTTTTTTTTTTATCAAATACAGCATGCTTAGGTACATTATAGTATGATCGATTTAACAAACTGATATAGTCGTATATGGCTTATGATATTTGTACATTGTACAGTGCGTTAATTTATAGCTACTAATTAGAGTGATAAATAAAAATATTTAGTACAATTCTTAGAAAACACACATAATGATCAGGTCGAGAATAAATTAATTTAATAATTTAGTTTTGTTTATAGAAACATGTCCATAAACACGGATGAAACAAATTTGTTTTTTGTTTGTCTGACTAAAATTCAGTATTAATTTATGTTTTTAAAACAGATATAAAATTTAATTCTGTAATTAAACCTCATTAATGCTAGAATTCGTTTTTTGTGTTTTTTGGTTATTTAACATAACATGCATTTTTAAATTACACAAACCTCTTTCTTTATTAACAAATGGCCCTATATCCGTGTAATTAATAATTTTACGATCTAAAGGAAATGAACTAACAACCGTTACATTGTGTCCTCGATTTGATAACTCTTCAAACAATGGTTGAAATCCGCGAAAATGGCTTTTGAGCGGCAACGGCATAAATGCTAATATATTTGCTGCCCTCGTGGCTATGCTGCAGGCTGTGACACATAAAACTGAACAAAAAAATAAGCTTGGCCACATTTTAGGTAAAAGTGTAATCTTGTATTAAAAATTAAAAAGTCAGGTAAATTTTCAAAATTTTTTTTAAATATCATTGATCCATACACTTAGATTAAATAAATTTAATACGTATTACTAAACTCGAGGTTGTAAAAAATTTTGAGACATAATTTTGTTTTAAGCGTCGTTCGTATACTCATATACTGAATACTGCTATTTCAAGTAGTCTAGGCTTAACAGTCTCAGATATAGTACTTTAGTCTTTAATACGCATCGAATTAAATTACTTTGATAACAATTCAATGTCGTAAACCTTGATATGGAGTTCAAAATAAACTAATACACGATGTATCCACATGAAAAATAGTACAATGTTGTGTTCTCTATGAAAGTTATATACTTTAGATCTAAGTTTTAATTATAAATTTAGATCACCTATAAGTTCGGTACCTATATCATGTAAAGCTTATATTTAAACTAATGCATACGAATTTCTCTGTACTTTAACTAAGGGTCAAATTGATGTCGGTAATATTTGATTCTTGAGATATTTTATGCTTCAATCAAATAAAACCATAAAGTATAAAAATTTGACCATCGTCTGCAAGTATTCTTCATAGCAAGTCAGTAAAATTTGTTTGAAACTTGTCACCGGTTATTAATTGGTCGATAATCATTATTTGTATAATTTTTAAAATTACCAACGCAATTGCTACCCCCCTCCTCGTAAATGATTCTTGTGTTGTGATCTATCCAGTTCTATACTTTTAATATTGTTGAATCCAGTGGCGTAGCTAGAATTTTTGAATAGTGGGGGGGAGGGGTATAAGTTTAGGTACATATCAGGGATAGTATAGCAAAAAAAAGGACATTCAAAATATGTTAACTGAATAATTAAATGGAAATCAATGGGGGGTTTGAACCCCTTAAACCCCTTCCCCGTAGCTACGGCTCTAGTTGAATCATATAAAGTATGTTTTGTTTTTTGATTAAATAACTTATTAATGCTTTTATATAATTAGGTAAATCACCTAGTTTTATGCGTTTTTTTTTTTTTTGTGTAAAAATTCTAAATTTTTGTTAAATAAAAATATTATATTCATAAAAGATATTATTTATATTTTGTATAATGTGTGGATAGGAATTAAAAATACAGTTAAAATTTTAAATACCTACTAGATTTAAAGATATAGGTAGATAATGAAAATGTATTAAATTGTATTTAGTAGCAAGTACAAATAAATAAAATAATTTTTTTTTGTGCTACGTGTGTGTCAATGAAAATAAAAGAGGACTATTTAAAGTTAATATTATTTTCATTTATAAGCAATAGCTATTGTATAGATTAATTTAATAATCAAATTTTAATAAGTAATAATAACCTGGAAACCAGCTAATTATTGATTAGCTTTCAATCGTATATACTAGACTAAATGACTAAAATGCTTTCCAGTTGATTAAAAAAAAAATAATCCATCACGTTTAAATAAAAATTTGAACATCTTTCTACCACAAATAATAGTTAGCTGTCACAAGAAGTAAAAGAAACATCGTCATCGTGATTTCACACGTAAAGATTGGCTTAGAAAATGGCTAAAAATTACGAATTTATTAAAATACCAATAATTACTTCAGCCTACTTTATTGCTAATAGGACAATTAATTACTATAATACTTTAATAGCAACATAATTTTATTATTTATCATAAATGATAAAATACAGGATAACAGACCGTCTTCGCTCAGAATCGTTTTTCTTATGAAACATATTGTATACAATATTAATTACTAGTACTTAGATAAGTTTACCAAAAAACCGATTGGTTCGTAATCAAATAACTTATTATAAGAATGTTATATCTATATAATATATTATGTTATGAATGCACAATGTACAGGTATAATTAAATTGTATTTCAATATGCAATACATAATTTTAAATAGTATCAATAAATGCTAAAAATTAATGTCATTACTTGAAACTAAGACGATTTGTAAAAGCTACTGACCACGATAAAAAAATAAAAAATAAAACAATTTACAATTTACAATTATTGCAAGAAAATTAGCGATTTATACTTAAAATATAAACAATTGCACAAACAAGGAGTGCATAAATTTTGCACATTTTACTTTTTTACCAGCAAAATCTGCATAATAATTTTATATTTTTTGCGTGTAAAAAGTGCTCAATCCTGATACACACCACACACAAGATAACACGAAAAAACAATATAAAATATATTATAGTTAATAAAAGTGGCTATATAATCACAGTTATGTAATACGATAAATTTGAATTAATAGTATTTTACAATAAAATAGAGATAAAACGTCTAACAAAATTCGTGTAACATGATCAACTAAAAAATAATAGGGTTACACAAAGTGTTAGCCTTTGAGTGTAGTAAAGAGAACCTATATCGTAACAAATAAAAATCAAATAACTGTAAACTTACCCCTAATGAATAATAATTTTTTAAATTTAATTTTCTATACATTTTGATGAAATTTTAACGATTCCACGATAACCCAACCAACCAATAACTATTGTAAGTGATAATAAAAATAATGAGACATCAAACAAAAAGTACTGCGCAGTGTTCAGTCCTATTGAACTACTCTTTAGATATTTAGCTCCATCGTTCCGAATTACGTACTCTATCCAGTATATAGCGCGATCTAAAGGTGTCATCGGTTGATCTTTGTATACTTTACTCTGGATCGTTGATTTATCCTTAAACCTGATAAATCAAATAGACAAATTAAACACTAGAAATATATTTAATAAGATTCTATTATTATTATTATTATTATATGCATATGAAATGATATAAACATACGTCGGATTTGTTAACACTTCTTCGACTGCATTTTCAAATGATTCTTCGGTTAGTTTATTATAAGTTATCAACTTTCCATAACCGTTTTTCTCGACATGTCTCATATTGGATAGTTGGTCAGCAAAAAAATGGTATGCCAATCACTGGTTTTCCGTTGTAAACAGCTTCCTCGATACTGTGCAAACCTCCGTGAGTAATAAAAAGTTTTACATTTGAATGAGCTATACACGATATATTTATGAGTACAGACATTCAGTTAAAAAATATGTTTCATATTATAAATTATATTCTCAATTGAATTCAAATTAGAAATTACCCAAAATATCATTCTGAGGCAACCACGAACCGACCTTAACATTATGAGGTAATTTTATACTTTTATCTGGCACCCATTTTATAATTACTTTTTGTTTTAAACGACTGATGACATTAAGGATACTATCCAATTTTTCTTTTGGTAAATTTGATAGGTTCACGATTGAACCAAAAGAAAAAAATATTACACCATGAGAAGCAGAATTAATATAATCTTGTAAATCCAAAATAATATAATTTTTCAATTAATAATACAATAAATATAAACGTAAAAAAAAATTTCAATATCATATTATAAAATGATAGTGTTACATATTACTAGCTTTGTAAAGTATTCAACTAAGTATATTAAAATAAAACTATTTGATTAATTTTTTTGTGTTTTTTATTTATTAAGAATACTTTTTTTGAACCAGAAAATATTTTTAGAACTATAACAAGACATTTAACAAGAACAATAATATAATCTATACTCTATAAATTTATATAAAAACAACATAGGATTATGAAATGATATGAATGATATGATATTATAATATAAAAACACATTGTAGGTGTATCATTATTTAATATTTATATAGATTCCTCGAGAAAAGACGAAAAACACTGCAAAAATTAACGCGTACCCCTGGTGGGACTCGAACCCACAATCCCCGGTTTAGGAGACCGATGCCTTATCCATTAGGCCACAGGGGCTAGCTAGAGATCATTGAGATGAACAACATGTTACAATCATTATTATCATTTTACTTATACATAATCATAATAAACTATAATTATTATTTATTACATAATAGCAGTGAGTATAGTAGTCAATGATAATAGTTTTGAATGTTTTGATCGTCACTACTCATTAATAAAATAATATCTAATTAGTGATTTTATGTATCTCCTACTGTTTTTAATTACAATAATATTCGAGCTCATAGTTCTTAATTCACAGTTCAGTGTGACAGTGTTCACAGTAAAGGCGGATCATAAAGCCCTAAGATTAGTTAGATTTACAAAATCATTATTGAGACTTGTTCGATGCACAAACACAAAAATAGATATGTATTTTTTATAGGTATCGATACCAGATACCATACACGAAGATGATGTTAATTTCTCCACACGCAATCTCGTCAATGCTATCACAATCATTTGAATAAAACTATCTATTGGCTATTTACAAAATTGTTCGTTGCTAATGTTTTGAATTTAAAATCTTTGCAATTTTGAATCGCTGCTAAAAATTACCTATTGAGGTTCATACTTTGATATAGGTACTCATCTAATCGTACATAGATTTTAATTTATGATGTGATGGGTAATCTGGTACCTAATAGGCACTTAGGTACAATATTCTTTATTTAATGTTCATTAAAGAGTGCACGAATGCACTAAATATGTGGTTAAATGTAAAAATAATACTGATGGTTTTAAATTAATTTAAAATAAATTATCAACGCCCAGCAATGTTGTTCATTTACTGTTGCATATAGTTATATATTGTTATAGTTAGGCTGACTTCTTGAATTTAAAGTTTGAATTAGATATAATTTTTTGCTTTTAATAATAGAATTGAGTAATTGACAGAACTTTTATTAAAACCTTATATATTTTCTAGAAATTGTACTTGAAATTTATATGTAATTTATAAAATAGTGCAATATGCCAGTATCTGTGCCATAAGCCTATTAAAGTTAATAAAATACCATGCATATTTAAAAAATACAATTATAATATGTAACTATGTACTTTGTGCTTACTTGGAGTTAGCATATAGTACCTACTACCTATTCAATTATATTTTAGTAAGAATATACAGATACAAGTCCTAACTCTATTTCTAAGTTATAACTTAAAAGCGTAGAATAAATGGTTTTTTCACGTATAAGTTGCATCATATTAAGGGTTTGTTAGTTATTTTGTTTTCTTTATCTATTACAAACACATAAAAAAACAAAAACAAAAAATTTTCTAGTACCTATCACTGGCATTAGTGTTTATACTAGCCAGTAGTTATTAAGATTATTATACTTTATAGTATATATTAGGTATGTATTTTAAAAATTGTTCTAGTGTAAAAAACGCATAAATAAATCTAAGTAAATAACAAATTTTTTTTTATACAATTTCATCAATTGTAGAGTGAATAATAACCAGGGTTTGGGACTCTTAAAATCATTAAAATAAGCGCTTAAAAACATCATTACAAGTACTCAAATAAGTATTTAAAAAACTTAAATTTGAACAAAAATATTTAATAATAAAAGAAAAAAACTTTCTTTTTACAAGATAAAGTATAAGTACTAGACATCATTTTCTGTGCTAAAAATCATATGATTAAAAATTACAAAAAATATCATAACAAAATGATTATGAAAACTTCTCAACCAAAAAATCAAAAAAATAAATAAATCTTTATATTATAGAAAAATAAAACTTCACTTGCAAAACATTTTGCCTTATAATTGTTTATTCTATCATAAACAACATTACAGAAAAAACCATAAAAAGTAGAAAAATTGGTTAAAAAGCAAAAATAATCAGAAAAACCATTGATTAAACATACATTGTATGTTTAATCAATGGAAAAACTCAAAATGAGCATTTTTTTTGAAAAATCATTGATAAAGCTGCTAAACAAAACACTCTCAAATTTCATAATTCAATGTGCTATAATGTGACATACACTTTCATACCACTTTACTACATTTTAAGTCAATTCATAAAAATAAACAAATGCTCCAAGTCTCAAGCTCGGATAATAACCTTTAACTTGTAATTAATTAATACATTATGTATAATATAGTCTAATTAGGTGCATATGATTAATAGTCAACAGTTTGTGTATGTAAAAACATATCTAAACAAAACCTACAATTGTAGCCGAAATTAAACAAATTTATTTTAGTTTATAGTAAAATAGTGAATGCAGAAAAATGTCATTTTTTTAAAATTACATTGTTAACATCAAAATTTATATTTTTCTAATGCTAATAAATAATTGTTAGTTTTAATTACTAAAAAGGATGCTTTACCCACATATATTTAAATCATTCTATAAATTTTAGACAGAAAATGTACATTCAGCATAATCAACTTTTTGTTATTAATCAAAAAAACTGAAAAACACTGATCTTACCTAACCTAAATTTGATAATAAATTCACTACAAATACAAAATTGCTTTTAAGAACTAAAATATAGTATCTTATGCATTTGTAAGAACAAGACAAGATGTACAGGTAAACGTCTTTTTGTTATATCCTTGTTTGAAAGTTATAATTTAACAATAAGAAATAGCAACTGTAGTAAAGTATTAAGCGGCAAGTAGATAGTTTTTTACTTTGAATTAATTATAAATGAAGAATAATAACATATCAAAAATAAATTATCAAGACATACTTTTATTATTTTTAGTTTATTCATGTTTTATAAATTTGTTATTTAACAATTGAATGATAAAATGTGAAACCAAGAAAAAGTTGGCAGTTTTCTTTGGAGTACAACCAAAATGCGTTTACTTCAACTTCTTCTTTGGGCGCAAGTTGTTTGTGTGTCCACACTTCTTCTTGCGGCAGTTAGTTGCTCTTGGGTGAAGACGAGCATAACATTTACGGCATATCATTTTGTCACAGTTGTATTTCTGGGCCAACAAACGAAGAGTGGGCTCAATAACACCACCACGGAGACGTAATACCAAATGCAATGTTGATTCTAAACAAAATAATTAATTAATATCTTTGATTTTATAGATCCAAGATCAACTACAATCAACTTAATAGTTAAATATAAGCATTTTAGATTTCTCCCAATAAAAATATTAAAAGAATAAAAACTAGTTCATACATAACATTATGCCTATATATATTAACACGTTAACCGCTATATGATTGCCGGCAGTTATTCAATAGGTATTTGTTATACGCCAAATATATTTTTCAATGTTTTCCAAATTTGTTTATAATAAATACTTGAAAAAAAAATAATATATTATAGGTATCCATGTCAAAAAAATTATAATAATTCCTGCTATGCCATGGTTCTTACTAAGATGCAATATTGTAGCGCCATAGAAAAGTTAATAATATAAAACTAAATTAATTTATGGTCGCCGGCGGTCACGAATATATAAAATTTAAGTTATAAATTATGGTTAACGTGTTAAACTATAACAAAATATAATTGTCTATAATTAAAAATATTTAAACATAAATACTTATATTTAGAATACATATTTAAAAAAATATATGTATTTTAGTTAGAAAATAAATTAATATTTGACAAGAGTGAAACAAACATTGATTTTCATAATGGTACTAAATTCAGATAATTATTTCAACATGTTGACTATTACAAGCCTGTTGGTGACAACACAGATATGTTACTGTGGAGCCATTTAAGTTGCCAGCAGACCTTTGAACATATTTAATAAACTATATTTTTCTATGGTGTAGAAAAAAAAACCTTATAAGGATACTATGGTGTACACAAGAAAAAAAAATTAATTCTTTAATTATCAAAACAATATAATAAATCAATAAATGGCTTTGTACTGCAAAATGCAGTTATTTTTTTGCTATATTATGTTTCCTTAAAAAACGATAGATTATGTTGTGACTAATAAAATATGATTAATGGCAATAATAATTTCTTATACAATTATTATGACAAACAATCTGGCTTCATAGTTATAGGAAATAATTATCATGCCAGTTGCACCCAGCGATTTATTTTTATTTTATATTATTCAAATCTTTTCAATTATAACGCTACATTCAAAATTGCAATAGGATTTTCTTATTTATAAATACACAGATTATAGTAATTATCTGTTATTTATACCATGGCTCCATTATTACAAATATGTGTTAGGTTGCCAGTATTCTTGTGGTGGTCAATGTGTTAATATAGTTATTAAATTCATATAACTTAACTATAAAATGATAGATAAATGTTCAATGTTTATATAAAACATATACATCTATTAATTAACATAATATTATATAATGAGGTATACAGTTATGAGCCACTATACCTTTTTGGATGTTATAATCTGACAATGTACGTCCATCTTCAAGTTGCTTGCCAGCGAAGATCAAGCGTTGTTGATCAGGAGGAATACCTTCTTTATCTTGGATTTTAGCTTTGACATTTTCGATAGTGTCAGAAGACTCGACCTCAAGGGTGATGGTCTTCCCTGTAAGTGTTTTCACGAAAATTTGCATGTTGAT